GGCGCGGGGTCATAGTTAGCCAGCGTGTCTTGCAGACTGATTCGTTACTATAACGAGTTCGATTTTTACTGCTTGATCTGCTACTGTATTTTGGAGCCAAACGGAGTTAGTCTTAATGTTTATGCATCGTTAGTCTTAATGTTTATATATCCTATATATATATATATATATATATATATATATATATATATATATATATATATATATATATATATATATATATATATATATATATATATATATATATATATATATATATATATATATATATATATATATATATATATATATATATATATATATATATATATATATATATATATATATATATATATATATATATATATATATATATATATATATGCTTAAACGCGATCGTCAGGCCATGGTCTGACAATTATTTTTAGCATGAAACAGAAAATTATCTCTGGGTGTTGTCTTCAATGCCCACTTTTATATTTATATAAGTTCTATCCCTGATGTTGAGCATTTTAACCCATAAATATAGCATACCTTAAAACATGTCGTCTGGAAACTTGGAAAGGAACTTGCCGAAATTGTGTGTAATGTTTCAAGTACATTTCACCAGTTTTGACTATTTTTAAGAAAAGAAGGTAGAAATTGAAGGACAGTGTGTAGCGTTTATTTTGTTAACAGTCCGGAAATTGAAATGAACGTGACTTTATATGCTAAGATGGTGGAATAAATATGCGCCTCACGTGACTAAAGTGACCTCATCGTTGAAACAAATTTTATAGATGGTTGCTATCTTTTGTTGTAAGAGAACATCACTGAAAAATGCGAAAACTTAAGGAATCAGCACATATGCTAGGACACAAAAATCTACTGAGCCGACCAAGCATAGAAATGAATACAATATGGGAACCTATAATAAGGAGTGCCAGAGAAAAGCAATGAATAACAACAAAAATTGCAATATAAACTCTAGTAAAATGCAATAATAATAGCAGAAAAATTGCAATATGAGCACTGGTAAAAATCATTGCTGAGAGATTAGATTTATAAGTCCCAAAAATTCGTACATAGAGGGCACATGGCCCAGTGGGTAAAGGCGTTGGTTAGATCCACTAATTAGACTCAAAGAGGTGTGTGTTCAATACTAGGCTACAGTAGTAGTGGTGAAAAACCTGGAGAGTCGAGTTAAAGACACAAAAAACACCCGGAAAAGGCATGGCACGTGGAACTAGATAGACGAAATAAAGGGTTCGAATCGAAATTCCAATTAAAAATGATTGTTTTTTTTTTTACTTGCATGCAAACCAAAGATTTATTTTTGGGACTTAGTGTGTATAGAAATTGTCCAAATGAATGTTCATGTCGAGCGCCACTTTGAAGGATTTGGCTTGTGTTATTACAAACTGTAAGTACAATTGTAATTGTAATTTAAGTTGTAGAAAAGTAGACACAATTTTAATTCCCGGATGCGGCCAGTACATTGTGGCCATGTACATTGTAGTTGATGTTATTAAGGGTTGGTCTTTAGTTTTTATAAGAAGGGCTTTAATTATTTAAGAAGCTTTTTGCAGTTGAAGTTTCTGTCAAGTATCAAACTTGTCATTTTAAGGTGTAAACTGATAAAGATGAACTGCTTTATCCTAAGGGTTAATGTCTGATTTTATTTTTTATTAAGAATTCATAACAGCCGATGGCTACGCCAATATAGTCGAACATAACATTCTCAAATACAATTTCAAATGCGAGAATAGTGAACTTGAAATTTCAAAAGATCAGGATCTTTAAAAGCTAAACTCAAGAAAACCTTAATCTCCAAAGTTGAAATCCCACCAACTATAATTCCCACAGGAATAAATTAAATAAGAAGAATAAAAGTACGAATTGTTAGGGGTTCATTGTTTTTAGTGTTAGACCTAAAAATATAGTTGATCGTGAAAGTCGCTCTGTAATCGGCTTTTTAATATAGAAATTGTATTTTTTCTTAGTAATATATTTTAAATATCTTTTAAGGATTTTTAAAACCATTTTTTTCCTGAATCATCTTTTCGGGATTTTGCCATTTGGGAATTTCAAACCTGTCACATCACCATGAATAATTATATTGGCTGATAATATGATAGCCTAAAGAGATGGTCAGAATATTCGACTTAGATTATATGTCATCTATTTGGGCGAGGGTAGTTACTTAGCAGCAGTCTCTCTCTTCTTCAAGAATCACGTTACAAATAGTATTTGGTTACATTGTTCAACAAGGAAGAATCTTTCACTTGATTACATTTTTCTCTATTAACGATCGTAGCATTAATTTTTATGAGAAGTTATATTTTCCTGTTACATTTGACCCGCTAACAATTTTTGTTGGGCTCGTATAAATCCAAAGCAATAAGACATAGAATTTGAATAAAGGAATAACAAATATATTGACAGGACATTTCACAAAAGAAAAGATGAGAAATGAAATAAAATGTGAAAAGTTCAAAGCAACTTTAAGTGTCTGTAGTTGATTACTCACGTCTTTTCGCTATGAAAAGTCACCGAGAAATAGATCGAGTCTTTCAAATTTCACACTGCCTGTAAATGGTCAGGGCTCGATAATTCCAAAATCTCGTTGCAGTGATATTTTATTGATCAGAAGGCAGTAATCCAAAAATACTCCCCCCCTACCCAGATTGAAGAAGATTCTTTTATGAAATGTGACTTGTTATGTATGTCGCTTAATGCCGTGGCCATTGTACAGTGCGATTACTTTTTCTTGTTGTCAGATGTATTGAAATTTTAGATGAGGGCATGTTGTCTCTTGACTTGCTTTGATTTTGTGTCAGGTGTTTGTGTGATATTTTCAATGTAAGCAGGTTTTAAACAATCAATTGATACGGTGTTTTTCTTTCTTTTTTTTTTTTTTTGAATGGTAAAATATTTTTCATGTCGTTCCAACACTTTATGTGGACCTTAAATAATTTGGGAATAATAGTTTCTTAACCATGTGATTCTTGAGAAAAATATACTCACAGTTATGTAGATCTGCAAGTATAAAAGATTGTTTGGTCACACATTTAGTAGGTGTAAAATATAACATATTCCTTTTGTCTTTTAGCTTGTTGACAAAGTCCGTAGATGGAGTTGTTATTTTTCTACCTCAAAGTATTGACCGGGTAATATCAGTGATATTCCAAAAACAATGTCTGCTGATGTGCATTGTAGGTCTTCTTTTAAGGTATGTTGTATTGATAGGAGAGTAAACAGTAAGTTATCTACCCAGTTTTAAGGGTCAATGTTTGTGGCTAGCGCAGGTTTTAGCTGTCTGTGGAAGCTTTTCACAATTCTATTGGCACAAAGATGGTATCTGGTAGTTCGGATATGTTTGACTCCGAACAGGCTGACAAATTCCTTGAAAATTATGGATTGAAACTGTGATCCTCTGTCAGTAGTAATCACAGATGGCACTCTAAATATACTAATCCAGTTGTCCAGTACAATTTTTGTAATAGTCTTTGCGAAGGTATTTGGAATAGCAGCAGGTCATTGACTAAATCGATCCATTATGGGGAGCATATAAATGAAACTATGTGTGTTTGGTAGGAGTCCCACAATGTCTATTATCAAATAGCTGAACTTACCCCCGGGTCTCTGGAATTTACCAATGGGGGATTTTTTATCTTTCCCAAATTTGTGTTTTTGACACTGAATGAATTGCTGTGTCAAAGTTCTTATGTCAGTGGACAAGTTCGGCCATACAAATCATTCTGCTATCACTTTGGTGGTTGCTCCTGCCATGATGTGATAAACCATAAAGGTGGTTGAATTTTTTTACGTAACAATGGAGGGGGGCGTATAATAAAGTCGAGGGTAACCTTTTTTCATGACATATAAGCCGGATGTCCTAAAGAGATAGGTAAACTTTCAAATTACAGTGAAGTAGCTTTCTTGACTTGCAAAAGGGTAAAGTCTTGTTTTTTGTTTCCCGGCGACAGTCTTGTAGCTTAAACTTTCCATATTTATTGAGGTTATGGAGTTACGGGAAAGTGCGTCTGCAGCAATATTTTCTTTACCTTTTACATATTGTAGGTCCGAAGTGAATTATGAAATGTAGTCGAGATGTCAAGATTGACGTAGAGGACAGGGGAGTAGCTTATGGTCGGTAAATACAGTGAATTCGTGTTCCTCTAAAATTTAACGGAAATGTCGGATAGCTAAATAGCGAGAAGTTCTCTTGAAAATGTGCTGTATTTCACCTGTGAAGAATTAAGCTTGAGAGAGAAGAAGAATATAGGTTTGTTTTCACCGTTAATATTTTGCTGTAAAACGTCACCAATAGTGTTCGATGAAGCATCTGTTGTTAAAGTTAAAACTGCGTTTTCATCATCACTAAGGGAATTTAGTTTTACGAAGTTCGCCAAGGCTTTCTTTGCTTCGTGAAAAGCGTCTAAGGGCAGGAACTTGAAGTAAAACTTTTGTATTCTTTTCCTGAGTGTTTTTTAATATGTCTGTCAGTGGGGCTAACTTTAATGAACAATGTAGCCAAAATCTTCGATAGTAATTTATCATGCAAATAAACCTTCGAAGTTGACGAGTTGACTCTTGGTGTGGGAATCTTTTTGTAACAGCTATCTTCTTAAGTAAAGGTGATATTCCTGTTTCGTCTGTTTGGTTTTTTTATTTTTTTTTTTTACATCAAACGTACATTTATCGACGTTAATCTACAGTCCAAAATACTGCAGGTGTTCAGAAAAAGTCGCAGATGTTCCATGTGTTCGGTCATATATCCGCTTGTCATTGATATGTCGTCGATGTATGCGAAAGTGAAAGATAAATCTATTAATATTTCATCTATCAACCTTTGAAAAGTTTGGGCCGCGTTTGTTAAACCAAACGGCGTTCTGGTGAATTCGAATAAACCGAAAAAGGTGGTGATAACAGACTTTTGGATATCGTTTTCTTCGACGGGGATTTTGGTAGTACGCCTTGATTAAGTCAAGTCTGGTGAAAATGTATGTGCGGGATAAGATAGCAATCTCGGACTGTTGATGCATTTAGTCGTCGGAAATCGCCACACGGATGCCAGGCAGAAGAACCTGTTTCCGGTAACATGTGCGATGGGGATGACCTACTCCTAGTGTAGGCATCTTCACATCTGTTTGTATAAAAATCCGCGAAAAACTACGTCGGAGAACAAAATTAAAGTAAGTGATTTTACACCGTATGTGTTAATTTTTGTACCGTTCGCTGCTTGAAGTTTATACAGCGCTGGTGTTAAATTAGTCTTCGTTGTCGGAGGGGTGACGCTAATTTCGGCACCTGCCTCGACTAAAAAATCATAACTATGACATGAGTCACGAATGTAAAATAGACGACTTTTCTTCGAACATCCGGACGCAGTCGTCATTACTGGTCGGAATATGCGTTCTTAACGCAAGATGTGTCCGGATTTCATCGACATGGCTTCCACTCACTCGATAAAGCTAGCTATGGCCGATGGATTTGCTGGATTTAGTCCATTTGTAAGTTAATCGGATTCTGGATGGCGTTGACGTTGTGTGCGCCTGAATTTTCGCAAATTTTGTCAGCGGTTCCTGTCAGTTTATCCAGGTCAGCATCTTCCAACCAAAGTGTTAATATTTGTGTCACGTGGTTCGGCAGCTTGTTCAGCCATAGTCGCCACAAAATATTCTCGAACAAGGTGCGAGTCTCGTGAAGATTCCTCATGTGTCTCAAGATTTGAGACGATATCCTATTTTCAATGGCGATATTGCTAAAATGATTTGGCAATTTCTTTTCGGTATAATATTGTTTGTCTCAGCATGTCGTATGAATTCTCTTCGGACACTGCGTTTAACAAGTCGAGAATTTCGCGGACGACAATTGTTGGAATCTTTTCGACAATGTAGGCACATTTCTTCTTTTGCGAAGTTATTCTTCATGTCGCGAACATGGCTTACAATTGGGCGAACCATGTCTGTATATCCAGTGGGTTGAAAGTGGGGTACCTGTAACGACAGTGGGGCTTCAATTGGTCCTTCCATGTTTACTACTATGGAGGAAGAATGCAGTATTAGGTTATTATAACCACTAATGAATGAAAAGGATTAAGCTGTGAAGTGATCGTAACTCGGCTTGTGGGTCGTGATTATAACAGTCTACCAAAATTCTACGCACATGTTGCTCTGAGCCGTAAAGAAAATTTTATTTTTTTAAACTAATGTCGTTTTCAAAATGTCATTTTAAAATATATATATATCCAGAACAATATCACGTTAGTTTTGGTGGATTCGTATAAATCCAAAGAAATAATAAGACATAATTCGAACAAAGAAATATAAACAAATACATTGTGAGGGCATTTTATAAAAAAAAAAAAAAATAAAGATGAGAAATTAAATGTGAAAAGTTCAAACTAACTTTAAGTGTCTGTAGTTGATTACTCACATTTTGCAGGAGCGAAAGGAATACGTCTTTTCGCTATGAAAAGTCACCGAGAAAGAGATTGAGTCTCTCAAATCTCGCGCCGCCTGTAAATCGTCAGGGATCGATAATTCCAAAATCTCGCCGCAGTGAGATTTTATTAATCAGTGGGGGGGGGGAGGGGTAATCCAACAAGAGTGTTAAGTTCATACATTTTCAAAGACCATTTATACAAAGTGATTTCAGCTGGAATTCGAAATGAACTCGGTAATTTTGTTTACGAAGCAATAATAATTATACCAATTGGAGCCGCTAAGATTTAATGGGTATCTTGATTAGCAATAAAATCCTTGCGTTCGAAAAGAAAAAAGAATGGAGGTTCTGATTGCAAAGACAAGATTGGAAGGTAAAAACAATATGTCTTTATTCTTTTGGATGAAGTAAATTAATTCATTTCATCTAAATAGATAGAAATCTATTTATTGCTCTCTTTGATAGAGTTTATGAGCCACATCAAATGCTGACCGTTGATACAATATTTTGATCAGGGAACGCGTAATATCTTAGCAGAGGAATTAAACAAATTTTATTCAAAGACTAGCGAAACGAATAATCGTCTGAAATTAAAAAAAAAAAAAATGAATAAATAAAAAACCGTGATTTTTAATTTTCTTTTGGGAATCGTTTTCTGAAACTGAAGTTTAAAAAGCCAAAGTTTTTTTTTTATAAAAATAGGATACTTAGTTTAACGATAAATTTCCCTGCGAAATAAATCGTTCATTTTAGACGACATAATTTTGCTAATTCCTCTGGAGTACCATTGTTGATCATATTTCAACGTACAGGCAGCTGCTTGTCCACGTCTAAGAATTTCGAGATTCTGTGAAAATATTAATCGATATTTCTTACATTTTATTAATCTATTCTTTTTTTTTAACGGCATTTCTCTGGTAAGATTTTCTACCTGTCTTCATGGACCGACATTCATTTCTTTTTTTGCTTCCTTCCTTCCGTCTCCATCATCTTTCTCCTCTTTCTTTTCTTTACCCTCTTTTTCTTCTCTCTCGCTCTATTCTTCTCCCATTCTGCACGACATTCCTCCTTTTTCCCTCATCCCTTTCTTTCTTTCTTTCTTTCTTTCTTTCTTTCTTTCTCAACATATCTTCTTTCTTCCTGTCTCTCTTCTTTTTCTCTTGTCTTCTCAATTTTTTCCTTTCTTTCATTCATTCTTTCTTTTTACTCTTCTTTTAGTTTTCACCTCTACCATATTCTTATCCTCTTCCATTTTCTCCGATCGTTCTTCTCTGTTGCCTCCCAACCTTCCTTTGGTCTTTTCGCTTTCCTCTTCGCAACTGTCTCTCTTTCTCTCACTTTTTTTTCGTTTCTTTATTCTTATACCCCTTCCTACTTTTTCTCTCTACCTTTTCGCTCTTCTCTTTATTTCGTCTATATTGACAAAGCCTGGTTTACAATGACATATTGTGCGAGATTTTTAGTTGCAGTTTGTATGACGTATTGCGTCTAGTTCGATTACGTAATACCTTTTCTTCTCGAGTTTTCTATTTGCTTACATTGCACTTCGTGATTGTCATGTGCTATTAGAAATACGCCACGTGCATTTAAAAAATATCATGTATCGCATATGCTTTTGCACTGACGATTTTAAGTTCTGGTTCAAATTTTACAAGATTCTTTTTCTTCTCACTTGGCATTAATGTCCCAAGGTGAATTATGATAATCAGCTAACGAGATTTAGAATCTATTTTTTTATATTAAACCTTCGGTATTTTGATTAACAGTTTCATATGTTCTTGATGCACTTGTAATTTTATAAAACACAAAAAGACAGAAAACACTTTTGAATTTTTGAAGAGAAGAGAAGGGAATCTAGATTTGATTACCTTGTCTCTTCTGTGAAGTTTTGATAAGGAAGAGAAGTTATAATATACTTTACGGTGCAAACAAATTATAATACATATTATAGAGAAGTCAATGAGTTTCTATAATATAAAACATCTTTATATAATAATTAATTAGATCCACCAACTCATACAATCAACTGTAAATTCATGAATACAAATCTCTTCTTATCTTATGTCAGGAGATGTGCTACTCTGTAAGAAAATGTGTCTTTTTTATTGTGTTGCATTGTTTTACGACACGTGATCAGTCGTCAAGTTCTTACCTGTCTCTTAGTTTACTATTCACTTTATATCTCTTCTACTTAACATATGCAAATAAATACAATCCTATTTATCAATCCACTCCCCCTCCCTGGACCAAAGAGGTTTAATGTCTTTGGTTGTTCTCAAACTTCTTCTTCAACCTCTTTCCTCCTCTCCCCCTTGAGGTTTATCTCCTGTTCTTTTTTATGGAGATCTTGGTCTCATTTCATCTTCTTCTGTTTCTGAGTCACTCCCGCTATCATCCACAGGCTTGTCTTCTATTGCATTGTTCTGATCTGCAGAACTCATCCTTTCTTCTCTGTCAAGATCTTCTTCCATCATGACATCTTCTTCAATACTTGGGCCTTAATTGGTCAAAATGGACCATTAGCCTTTTTCATTCTTTTCTCTTATATCCCCTTTGAATGATGAGATTAGCTCTCGCCTATGTCTTTATACCACTGAGTCATTAAGTTCACCTGACGTAAGTAAGCAGCATTTTGAACAAAGGTTGACATTCTTTCTTTCTTTCTTTCTTTTTTTGTTGTAATTTTCAGATATGCTCTGATTATGTGAAGGGTGACTAAATAATTTTGTTAACTTTGCCGAGTCACTCTTTCTGTTTTATAAAACCATTCACATTTCCTCTGTATTCCATAGGTGAGAAGTAGGTTCCACTCGAACAACTTCTTCCCTGGAACGACTGCTTTGTCGAACCAACTCACAAGAGTATGTTTTTCTGATCACTATAATCTGAAGCTGTTCAAGTCTAGGGTTAACCGTTACCTTCCCCTCCTATCCGTAAAAACTGCCTCCTAACGTAAGCCTCTATCTCGAGTGGCTCCGAGCCTCGTACAGCGTTAAGCATACCGTAACAAAAAATAAAAAAAATAATATTAAATATTTACTTCTTTCTCTTATGTTGTTATTTGCTTTCCTCTTACTTCTGCCCCACCAGTAAATGAGGCAAGGACATATAAGACATACCCAGCCTCACTTTTTTTCCTTCAACTGATGAATCATCAATAACACATAATCAACAAATTTTAACACCATTTATTGTTTATAACTTTGAGAAGATGAATATTCCCAAAATTATCTAAACAATGGAACTCATTGTGTTGCTAATTTTATTACATTGTTTTCTGCCCCACCCCGTCGATAAGTGTGGGTGCAGGGGTTAAATAATTTAGGCAGAAAATCTTCATTAACAAATGTCAAATCGAAACAAAGAATTTCTTTCTTTTATTTTTTTTTTCATTAAGTTTAGTTTCTTGTCAACATACAAGGAAATGCGTTTCAATAAATGTAAATAATGTTCGAATATTTGGTATCAAACGCTTTCGAATATCAAGACCAATTTTATGGCCCCTATGCCATTATTTATTATTTATTTTTTTACATATATATTCTTTAATTAGGCATTATAGTGTTGCCATTCTGATGACCTAACAAGAACAAAGTGAAATTCTTCACCGGGATAAATAGGTTCATTTATAATTTTTATTAAATCATTTTACTCAATGCAAGGAAATAAAGCCACTAACACGCAAAGGGGTTACTGGATGTAAGATATTATTTATAAAAAAGGCAGAGGGGAGCTACCTTATGGCGGTGGGAAAGTGACTAAAACCGAGATACCAGAACCAATGACATTTATATTTGATTATGTTAATAACAATTAGTTTGATTATTTGATTCATTTTTTACGCTTTCCCAACTCTCTTTAAGTTATTTAAAGCCAAAAAATATTTTTAAAATGCAAGCATTTTTTTGAGATAATAATAGTTTAGTGATACAAGTCTTACTAATTAACCTATAGTTGGAGGTAGAAGAGGTGGATTCATTGCTTTTCTAATGGGATTTGCGCGTAAGTGAATATATCGAACCCAACGGGGATTGGAACTCAGCTCTCCGATTAACAATTCCGAGCCATTATCCATTACACCAGCTGCACATCCAGGCCTACAGCACCTGGGATTTCTAAGTGGTCACCTAAAATTAATAAAACCACTTATTGCTTTTCCCTATAACACAATACTTAATCAATGAATTTTTCTGATGTAAGAGATGCCATGAAAGCGGAGATAAGTTCAGTATGCAAAAACCCCAAATTATAATCTTCAAATCAATGTACCACGCTCAATAATCTACTTATTTAAAAACAAAGTCAGGTTGATTTGATTGGATAAAGTAATAATTGTGTAATAATAACGCCTTTAAAATGAATAATAACTACATATAATCACCAAAAAGGTGGTTATTACAAAGTTCTTTTGAGAAGAGATAAAAAAAGAATCTTTTACTCGTTAGGGGCGATAAAAATCCAAACCATTATTTTGCTTGTTTGTATGGAGGACTTTTACACTTTTGAAAGAAGGTAGAAAGTAAGGAAGGAAAAACAAGGTGAAATATATATATATATCTTTTCGGATATTATTCATCCTACAAACACACACACACACACACATATATATATGAAAAGAGAGAGAAAGATAGCGAGAAAGAGAGGGATAAGATAGGGATTGATGGAAACGAAGGGGAAAGAGAAAGGTGTTGATTGTTTAGCAGGGGAGCAAGCGAGCGAGTGAAGGATTGAAAAACAGCTTTTGGGAGACAAAGCATAAAAGGGCAAGAGAGATTAAAAATAAATTAAAATTTCATGATGAGATAGAACAAAAGAAAGGTAAAAGAGAGGATACAGAAGACAATATTCAAACATTTCTGATTCCTTTTACATAGGAAACTAATCCACGTTTGTATAACATTTCAATAAAATATTGATGGACAAATAAAATAGGAAACGGAAGCAATTAGGAGATACAATCAAAGAGTGAAAGAAAAACAGATTTAATAAGCATGGATTCAATATACGGGAACTTTTCATGGGTCTGCCTGTTTTTGCGAATATTTTCTCGTGGACCATAAGTAAAGGATAAGTGATGGACATTTTCTGAATTCATATCATTTACAAAATCAGGTCCTCAAAGCTTCAGTGAACATTTGGGCGATGGCTGACTTTCAAGACTTTTTACTATTTAGAATAATGTAATCATTAAACTGTTGACGTATTCTCGCGCATCTCACCTGTGGAAATCTTTTCTAACTTCTTGCTTTCCTGTCAACCATGATCTTCAAAAATTTAAAGCCAACGTCAATCCTCATCTTCTTCCTGTTCGAATTCTGTTCTTTTATTGTCGTCTCTCCTTAATAATCTTTTCTCAGATTCTCTCACACTCAGTAACCCCTTGCTTCTCAGTAGCTTTATCGCCTTGCTTAGAGTGAAATTCAAAAAATTGTTTAATCAATTAATTCATTGATATCATGTGTTATATAAACAGTAAATAATTTCCAAAGCATTTATATATATATTCACACACACACACACACACACATATATGTGTGTGTATGTGTGTGCGTGGGTGTGCGTGGGAGCGCACGCATCGTAAATATATAGAGAGACCATTCAAATCCAGCGCATTTATTGCGTGTCCTCGCCAACCCTCACAGACTATGACTGGAAAGCCATTGGACTCACAATTACCTTCGTCCCTGATGCGAGGCCATCAGCGGTTCATACACCAATCCCTGTCCTTCACCAATGGAAAAAGAGAGTTAAACAAGACCTCGATCGTAACATCGCATTGGGTATAATTGAACCGGTGCCAGTGGCCACTCCTAGAACCTGGTGCTCAACGATGGTTGTCGCACCCCAAAAAGACGGCTACCCCAGACGCACACGGTGGACTTACAAGAACTGAACGTTGCCTCCATAAGGGAAAACCCTTCACACGCCGTTTCCGTTTAATCAGGTCTCTATCGTTCCGGCTCAGACAAAGAAAACAGTTTTGGACGCATGGAACCGGTACCGCAGCTAACCGTTTTTCCCAGCCGCACAAGATGCCACTACATTTATCACTGAATGGGGCCGGTACAGGTATCTTCGTGTTCTCCAGGGAATTCACGCGTCTGGAGACGGATATACCCATCGGTTCGACGATATTACATTGGACATAGTTCGAAAAACCCGTTGCATAGACGGGAGCTTCCTTTGGGACGATTGCATAGCGCCCTCGTTCTGGCACACAGTGGAATATAAAAGCCACTTTGGAAAGAATGGGGTTCTGTTTAATCCTGAAAAAATGCAGAGAATGGGTGGAGTTTGTCAGGTTCTTAATAACGGTCAACGAAAATGACTGAGGCCATCCTCCACTTTCCTACGCTCACAAATATCACGGCCGTCAGGTCATGGCTTGGACTGGTGAATCAGGTATCATATGCATTCTTGCAAGCTGAGGT